GGGCTAGATGCTGCTGTACTAGCAGTCACCTGCCATCTATCACCTGTGGAACTGGGTATGTGTGTGTCTCTGTGTGTGTGTGTCAGTAGGGTGGGTTCTGCCTGTCAAAAAACGCTTTAATCCTGAGTGACATTTATCCAAAGGAGGTTTCATTCATTCATCCCTCCATCACTTTCTATCCATCCTTTTCATCCTTTGCTGTAGGCTTTATGTCCTCTCCTCCCCCTCTGCTTGTTGTATCAGTCAGACATTTATAAAGCAATTCTGCAATCCAAGTGCTATCACACACACACACACACACACACACACACACATTCACAAATAGAGAAGCTAACACTGTAGGATAAGCAATGCTGATTGAATAGTGGAATTTTAGATATTAAAGCCCCTGTTTAAACACTTATTGCTTCTTCATTTTTGGATGCAAAATGCTTTTATGTGACCCTTGGAAAAGCAAAGACTGATGTTTAGCCAGGCTGTTGTGTTCCCATCACAGTAGACTTGTCGAGACGCTTGTGCCTACACCTGTTTGGGATCTGCGTCTGTGGGAAATGCGACGGGGAAAAAGCACGGGAGTGTGTCTGCTGAGCAGCGTGAGCAGATGAAACGGCAGATTCTTTCATTAGTTGTGTTTGAAGCTCAGCGGGGTTGCAGCAATAGCCGACATTTAATTACAGCTACCGAACGAACGCCTTCCTTGCTGGCACATGCACCAGCGCGCGCACACCCTCACACACAGGGAGGTCTTTCCAGAACATGCTACCAAAAGGCAATATTATAGGCCACTCAGCAGAGAAATAACCCTAGACCCCCACTACCTTTTTTTGCTCCCATTTCCTCCCCTCTTGCCCTCTTTTGACCTCTCCATCTCGCTCTTTTTTGCTCCCTCTGTGTCCTAAGTACAGCAGGAGTAATGGTGATGGATGTAGATGGAGAAAGCAGGCCTTAAATGTCAAACTCAAATGAAAACCGCTGTTCGGCGGAGGCAAAAGTAGCTGGACGCAGCCAGTGTTATTTAACCGTCACGCAGATAGATAAATGCCCTCATGCATGAAGTCCTTTCCATCACAAATATTTTCTTTTTACGTATGTAAATCAGCGCTGTTTTGCAAATGAGCTGAAAACATTTGTGTGTTTGAATTGAGTGGATTTACGTAACAGTTAACTGAGTGTAAATGTTGTATTTTAGTTATATGATAAACAATATATTGCCTCAGCCCATTTTAACGCCTAAGAAGCATCTCCTCTCGTCATGTGAGTTTCCATTATAGACACTAGTTTAACCATCCAACCACTTTCTACACAGAGACAAACATTCAATGGGATTCATACTTCCATAGAGAGTTCCACAGACTTTAAAGCCAAACCGATCAACTTGGGATTTTTTAATAAGATATTTGGGACTATTGGAAAAACTGAAATCTCACTTTGTTCTTTTTTAAATCAGGAAGGTGTGATACACTCCATCTAAAATGCACATTATTATCTCTGCGTAATCAGAGCCGTGATGCGGGGAAAAAAATTATATCCAGAAAATAACATTGGCACAATAATTGGGTGATATGGACATGGAATCGGTTCTCAAAATTCCTATCCGTGCATTTGTCACATGCGATGTTATTGAAATACTACATAGCAAATTTTGTGGAATTTTTGTCCATGCTACAGCACAGCCTCGTGTGTGAACCAAGGGAGTCACAGAACACTGGCATTGTTGTATTTTTCTTGCAAGCACAGCTGTATTTGCTACTTGGCTCTCTCTGGAGGAAGAGGTCAATTCATGTTAATGTGGACATGGTACATTTCTTGTTTTCTACTGGTTAAATGATTTATAATTGTGGTCATTTGCCTTTTTTTTCTCTGTGCAAACAAAAAAAAGCCCTTTTGCATCCCTCGTTTCCCCACTGAGTTTCTGATGAGGGCACGGGCTGGATTAGGTTAACGGGGATAGCTGGCAGAAGCCCATCGGAGATCCTCTGGACGCAGAGCTAGAGTTTTAAGGCGGGTAAAGGTTGTTTTGTGATGTGTGAGTAAACTCTCTTTAGAGTCATTTACAAATCCTGGGGCTTTTTATGGAGCGCCACGTCTCTCTCATTCCATTCATCTGGCAGGAATACACAAATCCAAAGATTCATTATTTATGAACATGTAGTATTTATGAGCATGCTGTGAAACAGAAATATTGTCAATATTGTTTGCATAATTCATCATGCAAAGAATGTGTTTCCTAAACGTGTCCCACATCTGCAGTTTTGGTTTTGGCCTCGGATGATGATAGAATGAGTGTGCCTGTCACACACTATCCACCAGACACGGCACAACCACATTTCCTGTGGCCTTTGGGCCACTTGTGGCCCACTTAACGTTTGCTATTGCTGTAACTACACAATATGTGCCAAAGGAGGGCCAGTTCAGGTCCAATAATGTCTCCTATCTGTGTCCAGAGCTGCGTCATGAGTTAAACATTTTCATTTTTCTCTTTTAAGTTGTGGATTTGAATATGAGTGGGATGAACAGAGGGCTGCAAGTTCATAAACATAAAGCGAAGCGACAAGCGGTTCAGTACAAAAATAAGAAGTGGGTTTGCAGATTTATTGGAAGGAAGGGGAGACATACTCTCTGAAAAGTTTGTCTGACGTCTGAGATGCAATTTTTAGGAGTAACACTGAAGGCAAACAACACCTTCTGAAGCCTTCCCGGGGCGGCTTTAATTATCGCTGGTGGCTATACAAAACGCTCCACGTCAAGCGCTCACTTCATAGTAGTAACTTTAGATTTCATGATGGATTAAACTTTCAAGGCATGTTTTCAAGCAGTCTGAGAGATTTAAATCAGCTGTCTCCTCACGGGCAGCTCATGTTTGCATGTGAAAGAAATGTGAAGTCTGGTAGACTAGTGCTGTTACAAAGCAGGAGGATGTGATGAGTTAGGAGAGGGTGTCCCAAACGCTCTGTGTTAACAGTCATCATGGGGGGTTTACGTATACCTTTGCATATGTGCAAGTTTCATGGGATTGTTTCAAAGTGATTGAGGGCCATATTTAAAAGAACAACACTGAACTCAACTATTGTCTAGTATTGGAATCACTCACTCCCATCTGAGAACACACAAGACATGAAACAAATTCTCCAAAAACACGACCAATATGGTCTTTTTCTGTCTTTTTGGGGTTTTGAGATAAAATATCTGACTGAATGAAAGTGTTTCTGTTCAATGACACAAAGGCTGGAGTTTATACAAATGTTTTTATCTAAGAAGATAAGCGCCACTTTTTTCTAATTTAGATTATTTTTCAGCTGTCCCCTGACGTGATGCAAATATTTCCGAACGAATCCATTGTTACTGGTAATATGTCAGACAGCCACAGACATCATGGATGTAGGCTTTTCACGGAGCACTTTTAATCAGATTGATTGTCCAGTCAGAATAAATATTCGGTCAGACCTTTCAGCCACAGAGGATTAGTCCTTTACAATTCCGTCCATAAGTTAGGGGTGTTTTGAATATTTAGATTTAGGCCCTACCGGGGATATTGAGATGTTCTATCTGGACTGTTCTCATTTTCCAAAAAGTCAGCTGAGAGGGGCTGTCTCTCATCCTGAGTTTCCTCCACCCTAGTTCTGGACCACTGAGTGAACTGAGCCCCACTTTCACAATCTCCTTTACTAGCCATTGGGAAGGCCCGTCTGTGAAGACGGATAGGAAACTCTATTTTCCTTCCTCTTTGTTCTTCTTCCCAACAGAGCGGCCACTTTAACATGTACGGTTTCACTCCGATTAAACGCGTCTCCTCGTGTACACACAACTTGTCAGATTTGACCCGGTGTCAGTGTAAACACCTGCGATTGGATTTCTAATCAGACGCATCCCAGTCAGATTGAAGAAATATTTGTCCACGCAAACGTAGCCGGAGTGGTATTTGTCGCAGACAGTTGTCGGAGGGGGAGGGGGGGGGTCGGAGGAAGAGGAAATCATTCTCACAGGGCCCCGGAATAGATCAAACACTAGCCTATATACTGAAAATTATAATGTTATTGAATATGTCAACGTGTGAGAGCTATACACATTGTCAGTGTTTTTCTCAACAAAAGAACATCTGAACAAAGATCAGGTGTTTTTCCCAATTCATCCTGTCTCTCCATAGATATTAATTACAAAACAATGAAAGAAAAGTAAAAAATAAATTATACAACTCCTGATGGACTCAGGTGATCAGCAGCTGTCCTGTGATAATGCAGTGATTTTCTTCATTTGTGACAAAAAAAGGGATCAAAATATCTATCTAAAAGGTTTACTTGAAGGCTTTGCATGGCGAATAGCTGTTCTGCCTTGTTCCCTCTCAGTACCCGTTAAACAGTAAGATTCAGGTATTATATATCATGCCACATTTCATTTAAAGCGCTTTCTTTCAGGTGCTGCTCATGCAGATTGTTCAATAACTATTCGAGCAGATAGTCAGAAAAAAGCTACTGCAGGACAAAGATGATTTGAAACCATCACAAAATATGACGCTCTCGCGTACGGTTAAGGGGCTCATTTCTCTTCGGCTGCAGTGCTGTGGGGACTCAGTGTGAACCAGGGGAGTGTGAAAGAGCTGGGAAAGGAGGAGTGGGACCTCTCCATCACTCCTGCGATGACCTTCCAAGAGTCGTGCTGTTACAGAGTACAGAACTAATGCCTTAATATATTATCCGAATATGCTGCATTATCATTACACCTCACCCTATCGCTCTCAGACTCTTTTGCTGGCGCGCGCTCACGTCATGTGGAGTCACGCCGAGATGTGCTGGCGTTTCTCAACACGAGCCGTGATGGAGCAGCCACACGCTCCAGCCCAGAGGCTGAGAAACCGATCGGACGGATGACGCCGACAGTGCGACACAGAGAAAGAGAGTTCAGTCTCACGAGTAGCAACCCTGCCGCTGTTATGTATTGTGCCGGTGTGAGGAGGAACACGGGAGATAACACAGAGACTTCCTGGACAAGAGCAAGGTCAACACATGCGCACCGCGGCCCGACACGCACTAATGCATTCTCCCGGTGTCGACAACCTGGAACACAATGGCGAGCGAGGGGAGAGGGAGGACTGCCGGAGTCAGGGGAGATAAGAGCAAAATGTCACACCATCATTTCTAGAGGAAAAAGTCGGTTTTAGCACGACTCCTCCTGAACAGCTCTGTATCAGGTTTTAAACTATTATAGCAAAATTCAATTCATATCAGCATACAGTTACTTGGGGATCCCACTTGATCATTTAACCGTCTGGTTTTAAAATCAGTCCCTCCAGATTGTGCTCCAGTCATTTGCTTGTTTCGGGTAGACGGTTTCTTTTCTCTTTCTTTCTTTCTTTCTTTTTTTTTTTGTTGGTTTGATTGATGATTCTCAGGTAATAGCATTGGTCTGAGGTAGATTAAGGTCCCCAACTGGAAGATGCAGTGACTGCAGTGTGATTGTGTGTGTGTCTGCAGGGCAGGATCGCAGTGAGGCAGCTCTTATCAGACGTTTTAAGGGCGATGGCGTCCGCTACAAGGCCAAACTCATCGGCCTGGACGAGGTCACTGCCGCCCGCGGAGACAAACTCTGCCAGGACTCCATGATGAAGCTTAAGGTAAGAAAAGTCTCACCCTCCTCTTTTTTTTTTTTCTCCCGCTGTTGATGTCTCCCTTCTTTGGAAATATCGACCATTAAAGCTATTGACTATTAAAGCACTCCCGCAACATACACTTTGCATGTTAATTGAGAAAGCTGAAGAGGTTCATCAACCCAGAAATAATTCCCCAGGATCGCCTACAGCTACATTAAGTTCCGGGACTCACAAAAAAAAAACGACGAACATCAATGACCATCTCAGTTTTTTGGTCCACAAAGCGTTCGACTTCATGCATATTTTAGCGCCAAGCATTTAAATATCCATGTATTATACATCACAGCATAGCTTGTGCCTCTCTGTATGTCCATGCATATAGAGTTTGTTGCAGTTTTTCCGTATGCAAATTAGCAGGGGAGAAAAGTTCAATTACGACTAAAAAAATAAATAAATATAATGACGTCGCTCGCGTGATTTATCGGGACGATGATGATAGGTGAGAGAGGAAGTAGGTAGGTTAGCTATATGGATATGAAGGGGATTGGGTTGAATGTCTCATTTGGCAGGACAGGAACAATTATGGGGGAAGGTAGACAGATGGGGCAGTTAGCAGAAAGGAGAAGAGAATTCATATAGCAGGATTTATTAGTGTGGAGGAAAGAGGGGTAAGAGGCACAAAGATTTGAGTAAGAATTTTAACATTTTTGATTAATTCATGCATGAGATCCAAATGAACGACCTGTCCTGTTTGCCAATGGATTAAAAGGTTCCTCAACAGCCATGTAAACAAAACAAAAACAAAAGCCTTAATTTGTCACCCTTTCTGCAAATCTGCTTTGTAAGACTTATTCATTATTAATTCTCCTTAACTTATACTACGGAGGAAAATTAGATGGAGAAAATTGCATTTACCTTTTGTTTACGTGCAGCGAAAACTCCACCTAGCAGAGCCCTATAAAGGTGAGGAGAGGACGGACAGCTCATTGATCAAACAGCATCCCTCCTCCTCATTTATTCAGACAGGAAATCCATCAAGTCTTTTTCCCTGATCTCTCCACCTCTTCTTTTATACTGTTTCTCCCTTTCTGAAACCCAGCGTCTTCCTACTTCTGTGTTCTCACTGCTATTTGAGATTCACCAAAGAAAATCAGGGTGAAGTGACCATCCGGCCCTACCTGTGCTTGTTAAAAATCATCGGTACATCAATATGTGTGTTTACTCCATTCTGGCAGTTGTGGTTTCCTCACATTCCATGATCAGAGAGCAGATATTAGTTCAAATCCATTCAAGTTTATTCATATCTAACATGTAAGTATTACTAATAAGTATTGCATGTTTAACTATACTGCAGGTATACTGGTTTCTTTACGCTATGGTATGACTGTGCCATAGTCATGCCATATTAGGTTATGACTATGCTGTATGACCATAGTATTGCTATACCATAGTCATAACATAGAATGGTTAGGGGGGAACAGACCTACAAAAACTTAAATATTGAACCTGCCAGCAGGTTGTTGCTTTAAAAAATTATTTTTTCTTTCCTTCAGGTAAAACTGACTATTGACTTGACCATTTGACATGTTGAAGTACTTGTTTTTCTGAGTTAAATAAATCTTTTATGCCTGTGTAAAGCTGGAATAAGTAGACAGAAATCACACAGCCAAGTGACAAGCGACTGAAGTAATTGTCAATAATTGTCTTTTTTTTACCTCTGGTTTATTGTCCCATTCCCAGGGTATCGCTGCGTCAGCACGGTCTAAAGGGGAACACAAACAGAAGGTGTTTCTGACTGTTTCCTTTGGAGGGATCAAGATCTTTGACGAGAAGACAGGGGTAAGCTTTTAGGCAAATGTGGGTCTGTTTATTTTTGTGCACTTTACTGCATGCGGCTCTTCTGTGTGTGCATATATTTGTGTTTCCTCTGTTAATGAGGCTTCTCTATGAAAGGAACGGGCCCCTTGGGAAATCAGGAGGCCCTAATTGAAACCCTGAGAACAAGGCCTCAGTAGATGAGAGAACATGGCTACCCCATTGTGAGCCTCTTTGCAAACAGCAGCTACACTGGTTTTATATTGTGCTCCAGGATTATGCATTTTCAATGTTACACGGCTTTTGACCGATGGGATCTATCCAGACCTCACTCCACGTTTTTCATCGGTCCTGTGCCTATCTTTTTTTTCTTTTTGGAAAATAGCTTTACTATTTGTCAATCATTTAACATATTTGTATGTCACTGCTCGATAGTGTCGTAGAATCTCTTGAATCCTTGTAAACACAATAAACATCACTTTAAGCTTAAGCTTCACTGAGAAACCAGAGATTTACAACAATGAGAAAGTCATAAATAGGAGTGACTCTATTGACAGAGGAACTCAGAAGAAGTCTGTTATTAAATGCTGTTGCAGGGTGAAGTGTGCTTGTAGCTCAAAGGAAAGTGGCCAAAAGTGCCTGGTGGTTTCTTTTTAAATTTTCTTACTCAAGGATCTGCTGACAGGTTTTATTGAGGTTCAATCCCCCACCTGGCCATACCTGTCACTGTATCCTTGAGCAAGAAATATATTGCCTACAATCGCCAGTATACAGCCTCTCAGGTTACGACACAGGCCAGTTTTCCTCCTTTAAGTGCTTGTGACAAAGGACTTGTGTCACATTTAATTCTGGACACCTGCAAATAGCTGTCTTTCAGGAAACATGAAGATTTTAAGGTGTTTGGCTTTTAAATAATCTTTTTTTCTTTGCAAATAAAGTAAAACAACATGCCCACTTGGTACCTGGGTTAGGCAGAGTCCCACTTATCTTTGACCTTGTTGCCTCCATAAGAAAATAAATAAACTCACTAATCCTTCCTCTCACTTCATGCCTCAAAAACTCCTCAAAACTCGCAGAGGTTCAGAGGAAGAAGCATCGTGATAAAGTCACAAAGAGCAACAATGAGGAAAGGGCAAAAGACATAGAAGGTGAGACAAAACAAGAATCTGAGAAAGATTGATAAAGGAAAGATGTGGTAGAGGGACAGAGACGGACGGAAAAAAAGAGTCAGAGGGAAAGGTGGAGAATCAGCGAGCATATGTCAAAGTAAAGCTCTCTACAGGGAGACCTTGTCTTCTGTCTCCACACATTAATATTAACTATAGAGATATGCAGGCCCCACTATCAGTCCTACTCCTAATGCCTGAGGAAGGAGGGGAGGGAGTGGGAGGAAGAGAGAATGACTCTGCTGAGGCTCAGGGATCTTGACAGTCTCATTCCCCCTCCGTGCATCAGTCAGCCGGATGGGCAGATGGATGTGCGGCGGAACGAGTGGATGGATGGTCTTTCTGTTGGAGGAGGGAAGGTCGTGCAGTGTGGAGGGAGGCTGGTGCTTGAGATGTAGAAAGAAGTAGAGGGGAGACATTAATCTAACAGAGGGCACGTCTTGCTTTTGGTCAGCCTCCATCTCAGCACACACACACACACACGCTGCCGTTCCCAATCCTTTTTGCCAGTGTCAAAGGGACACACCACCATGGCAGGTCAAGGAGGTGAAGAGCTCACATATCTATGAATATATATACCTCTATCTCTCTCTCTTTCTCTCTCTCTCTCTACATATATATATATTGTGAGTTACAATGACGTTAAAGAATGCTCTGTGGATCGTAGACTCACAAGTGCTTTTAGAGACTTCGGCATGATTTCACCAACTCTCTCAATGTCCCAGCTGCAAATTTAATTCCCTTTACAAGCCTGGAACTCTCCACCAGCTGGTTAGAGACTGAAGAAGCCTTTTAAATGTGGAGTAAGATGTTTTCAAGCACCAAGAGGAGATGCCCAGAGCCTTTGTTCGAGACCAAACCTTGATCTCCTCCCGGTCAGTAGCAAAGGTTATGAGGGTTACACAGAAAGCATCCTGCTGCTTTTTTTCCCTCCGCATAAAAAAATAAATGAAATACGTGCTGCCCACAGTCTCGCAGAAACACTGATGCTGCATGTTCAGGTAAGAGGGACTGGTATTTCTTGTCGACAGCGCCGAGGCTAGAGGGGGAAGAGGTCATCAGTCAGGATCGACTTTTTCTATACACCCACCTGTTCTTTTGAACAATCAACTCTCCCAGAATAATAAAGCGCGTCTATTAAAGAAACATCTGATAACTGAAGCTGCCAGACAGGTGGGCTCCTGCATGCAGCCTCCTCCCATGAGATATCTCACACTTCTGTCCAGAATAATGCAACTCAACAATCGGGAAGTTTTTCCCAGTAATGGCCACGAGTTTTGCTAGCAAACATGGACTGTTTCAGCAACAGGTAACTCATGACGGCAGAGGTTTTAGCTGGTTCTAATAAATTAGGTAAATTAGGATCATTATTATGGCCAATACACCACAGTCGACTCACAGTGAGAATGCCCCCAGGTTAAATAAAAAACTAATACAGAATTCATATTGTTCGTTGCCCTCTAGCCCAATGTCAGCAACGAGGCATTCCGAGCACAATAAAAGGCTTTAGAATTGATGGAGGAATAATTCCACCTATCATCAAGCAAAATAGATCGTCAACGGTGTCTTCAGGTTATATTTTTGTGTTTTAACTCAGTGAGAAAATGAGACATTCTAAAGTTTTTAGTTGTGGTCTACATTAACATTTAAGTATCGGTGCTTTTTTTCCTCTTATCTTAGTTGAAAGCCTTTGTAAAGTCTGTTTTTACATTCATTTTGATCATTAATGATGCACAGTTACTAAGAGATTTGAATGCGACTGTGCTTCTAAAACTGTGGCCCAAATTAGACCAAGGCCCTTTTGAAACATTTTCTTCTCCTTTAAAGAAAAAAAAAGAAAGCTGGGCAGCCCTCAGATTGTCTGTAATGGGAACCGCCTCTACTGCCTAAGCTGCACTTGCTACCAAGATGAAGAGGAGCAATTGAATTTAAGCAGTCATTTCATTCTCTGCTCTCTTTGAATCAGAGTCCCTCTTTGTCACCTCGCCGCCCACCCGGAGATAATTCAATAACCTCTGCAAATGAGCTGAGCGCGCTTGTGTGTGCGTGTGTCTGCGTCTGTTTGTGTCTGTGGTTTTTTTGTGTGTCTGTGCACATGCACTGCCTTGGCTGTCATTTTCAGGTCAATCAAAGGTGATAATAATAATCATTACTCTAATTATTAAATTTAGAAGACATGACTCACGCAGTGATTATCTGTTTCTGCTGGGTCTCGCTGTGTGTGTGTGTGTTTTTGTGTGTGTGTGTGTGTTTCTGTGAGAGAGAGAGGGAGGGCGGGTCCATAGCCCTGTGTTAAACTGGCATCCCTGCTCCGCTGTTTCACCTCTGGATTAGCTCTAAAGAAGCCAAATGTGTGTGTTTAGTCTCCGGTGTAAAGGGCTCCAGCCCCTATCAGGAAATGAAGGACTGCGGGATCATTGTGTTTTCTCAGTGTCTCTGCTCCCAGCATGCAGCTGGCAGAAACAATAACAACAAAGCCGACATTAAGTGAGCGAACAGAGGGCCATTGTATATTAAGCTGTGAATTCTGTATGAGTGCGTGTTGTGAGTAAGGGCAAGGATGAAGAGATCAAGTCTGACAGCTTGCCGAGCTGTGATTGTCACTGATACCCCCCCCCCCCCCCCCCCCCCCCCCCGCCGCCCCTGTCCTCGGGACAAACAGTGCCATCTGCCATGGGCAATGCCAGCTCTGCTGTTCTAGCCCAGCCTAGACCAGAGAGGGCGCGAGCGCTACAAGCAATGCGGGACCGAATAAAAGGTCTGCCCGAGTGTGTCCATTAATGTTTACTCGGCTGAGTTTTGATGGAACTATTTTTCCTCTCCCTCTGAAAATTCTTGGAAATATGCACATAAGGTTTGTGGGTTAATTAATGTGGATGAGGATATGAGTGAGTCAAGTCAACACATCTAGAACAAACAGTCTTATATTTTGGTTTAGTTGATATTTACTGTACATACTAATATACCCAATCAGTTGGGTTTTTTATCCAAAGTAAGTGATGAGTAAGGGAGGCACAGTGGTGTGGTGGTTAGCCTCAGAGCCAGACGGTTTTGGGTTCGATTCCCCGGGGGAACCAGGACCTTTCTGTGTGAAGTCTCCATGTTCTCCCTGTGTCTGCGGGGGTTCTCTCCGGGTTTTTCGGCTTCCTCCCACCGTTCAAAAACCTGCATGTTAGGTTGATTGGACATTAACTGCCCTTAGGAGTTAGTGTGAGTATGCATGGTTGGTCCTTGTGTGTCTCTGCGATAGACTGGTCGACCGTCCAGGGTGTACCCCCCTCTTGCCCATTGACTACGGGGATAGGCCCCAGTCACCCCGCGACCCCATTAAGAAATAAGCGGTTACGATAATGGATGGATGGATGGTTATACACAATTGGCTGTCGACAGATCAGGGGAATCCTCGCAGGCTACTGTAGTTGGCAAATTTTCACACAAGCTGACCCTTCAACTTTGAATTGTGCTTAATAAGGGTGCAGACCTGGCAGTTAGCGTTCAGGAAACCGTTTGCGCTCCAGGCGGAATTTGGTGACACACCGAGTCAGAAACAGCCAGATAGCTGCTATGTTGTAGTCAGTCACTTCAAAGACCCATTCCATATGGTCAGAGAGGGAGAGACTGGTCATTACACATAGTATAAGGTGTCTATTTGTCAAGAAAATATGTTTTAGAATAAATAATTTGCTGGGATAAGCAACAAGTTAAATAAGTTAAAGAAGATGTGGGTACAAATCCATGATGTGAACATGTTGGATTCTAGTGAAGACCAAAACGATAACACGAGAGCTTCCATAGGAAATACTTTCATTTGTTTTGATTTTCTGTTGGGCATTAGCTTTAATTTTAATTGATTTTGAACATGAATTAAGTTAAAAATGATCACATGATTATACAACAATAATAATATTATGACGCCTTCTGACTTTGTCTGCACAGTTGAACTCATCCTAAATCCTACACCTCCACAGATCCTCCAACACCACCATGCGGTCCACGAGATCTCCTACATTGCCAAGGACATCACGGACCACAGAGCCTTCGGCTACGTCTGTGGGAAGGAGGGGAATCACCGCTTTGTGGCCATAAAAACTGCACAGTCGGTGAGCACGTGTGCAAAGTGTGCGCGCTCTTTTAAGCTCTTAGCAACTGTTTAGTCATGTTTCACCATCACCCCCATGTGTAGGTTAATGTATGATTTATCAGGGGCGCTTTCCATAAGCACAAACCTCTTGACATTTAGATAAGGACCCCTGACTAGCTTGTGCAGCTTTGTGTTGTGCATCAAACATACTGTGTACTGTGTACTGTGTACAGCGCCGACGTTGGGTCTTGTGTGTGTGTGTGTGTGTGTGTGTGGAAAGGTTCGGGTTCACTCCTGCAGCAACATGCCCCCGTTTGATAGCGAGCACCTCTCTGGGCTCTGATATGATTGTCGTGGCTGTTGTTGTATCTGTGTGTCTGGCTAGTTTCGTCTGGATCCAGCTGGCTCGCTCTGTAGCCGTATTGATTTCCCATAGTGAGTCGATGAGGGTTTGAGTGTGTGTCACCAGATCTAATGGCATATCCATCCTCCTCGGGCCATGAACCGTGGCTCCCTGACTTAGACAGATACGCCAACACACACGCTGGTCTATACTCACAAATACACATGCCACGCTTGGATTGAAAAGAATAGGTTTCTTGTCGTGCGTTCTCCTGCCTAATAGTGTATCACAAAGTTATATCCTCATCACCCGGCTAAGAAGCCATTTACCTGAAGTTTGTTCGGGGAAAGGTCACGCTTATATATTTCACTTCCTCTCTCAGGATCTAAACCCGTCATCTCTGGCAATCAGACGAAACAAACAACAGGAGGGATGGAAGCAGTGTGCTTATTGCTGAAGCTGTAATTGGAGAGTTACCACTTTGATGTGTCTCTGTCATCGCCAAGACAAAAAACTCAGAGTTGTTCCAAAAAAGGCCAATTTAGGGTTGGTTTCAAAAGCATTTGGATTACTGCGCCACTCGGAGAACACAAGGAGGGACTTGTCTCCATCCAGCCAGTTTTTGTGCAGATTGAAGAGTCCTAATTGTGTCAGAGAAGTTAGCTCACTGTCACTCCGAGAACTTTATGGATAATTTACAAATGTTGACTGTCAAAAAGCTGTTTGGTTATGAAACCAGCTTTCAGATTCTGTATGACGGAAACGAAAGTGTATTGTTTCTTTGTTGACAGAGTACAACATCAGAATGCTGTCCTTTGTCCTCATGCCGAACTGTTACTTTGAAATTTGGGGCAGTGGAATGAGGAAAACTGGGAATATCCGCTCCTTGGTGCACACATTATTTGATCAATGAAATAAATTCATTATGTGACTACTGGTGCTCTTCGTACAATGTACGTTGGCATTGTAAATGAATATTATGCTGTTTTCATTCAGTCATTTCATAGTATTAATCAGTAGTAACCTGAGCAGATGCCTTTTGATGCTACATTATGCAATTTGCTCCTAGTACGACTGGCTGCCTATGCATTGTATTGCAATGAAAAGAGTATCTAGATTCAGAAGGATGGCAGTATGCTTCACTGTTGCCTCAGCAGGAGAGACAGATTACCCCAGTGTGTGTGTGTGTGTGTGTGTGTGCGTGCCGCAAGTTGTACAAGGCTAAGAACATCTCACAAAGAGATGACATTAAAATAGAACTACTGAATGCAAACCAGCATTCTGTCTGTGAACTCAGGGTGACTCTGCATAGCTCCAGTCAATAATTGATTCGGTGCGAAACACTTATCTACCGTCAGACTCTTTGCAGTTCTGCTGCGGCTGTGCTTCCAAGTTGTCTCTCAGCGATTTGTTGCCAATGCTTTGGCCCCCCTGATGAGAGAGAGGTGGCACAAGGTAAGCCGGCGGGCCCCTGTGTGCTCATGTCACCGTGTGAACCCGGTCCAGAGGGGGGGGCGCCCTGCCGGGATCACGCAGATCATTTGCCGAGTCATCGCCGGGGCTGTGCTCCAGATCTCATTTACCCACAGCGAAGTTTACCGAGAGAGCTGGTTCGAAGACTGAGCCACTTCTGGTTGAAGATTTTAGACAAACCGATTGTAATGTTTCAGAGATCCGTAATTACTCGGTTGGCTCTGAGAGAAACATTTAAAATAGTGTCATGTGTCAGGTTTCTGGATTTGGAGGAGTTTGCTCTGTGATGACAGCTTTACTCAGCAACTTGTAGCAAAAATAAACAAAAAGATGCAGACAGAGAGGTTTGCGTAGTGCATTCCTGAGATTGAAAGCTTGTGAAATCCTTATTGTGTTGTTTTTTGCGTAATGACACTGCTGTGCATTTAAACTCCATGGCAGCGTGGGACACACTGACGCGGGTTTAATGTTTTTGCCCCAGCTCCCTGTGTCTGAAACACAGCTGGTGAACCAAAATGCTCTCCTTGAGATGTGAACGAATGAGGTTACTTGTGTTTTTTCGTTAATCCGTCTCAGGCTCGTGCAGTTTTAGCTTAACAGCTTACCTGTTGTCTTCAGATGGTGCACTCCGGGTTCTTCACAGATGTCAGGGCACCAACACCTGGTTGTGAGCAGGCAGATCCATAGTGTGCTTGAGCTTTTGTTCTGTACGTCTTTGCCTCTGAACTAATGCAGATCCCACAACAAATATAAACCGGCCCTCAGCCCTCTGTTACACAGTAGCTCGGGTTCTGTATTAATCGCACAAACACTTAAAGTTAGAGTTCTAGAATATGGACGGTGTGTTGTGCTTCTCTTATTGTGTGTGTCTGTGTGATGACCACTTGTGATTCCAGGCCGAGCCGGTGATTCTTGACCTGCGGGACCTGTTCCAGCTCATCTATAAGATAAAGCAGAGGGAGGAAATGGAGAAGAAGGCGCAAAAAGACAAGCAGTGCGAGCAGGCTGTCTACCAGGTACGTCAACCCGCTTTTTCACGCGTTAATATCAACTTCTCAACCTGCATCGTAAATAAATATGACGATGAGCTTTATCTAAGAGGCTCTGGACAGACGAGTAAAACATTGAAAACTTGGCATCTGGAGCCGGTTTCTAGTTTCCATTAGCGGCGCCATCTGTTTATTGTGCCGGTTTCACCTTCCTCTGTTCTACCTTCTCCACATTCTGTTTGGTCTTGCTTAATCTCTGGGCGGGAGTCCCTTTAAAATGATTATCTGCATTTTGGGAAGTCTTTTTTTCTGTGCTTTCCGCCCACTCTTTTACTACTCCACCGGCTTAACTCTGTCCTCTCCCCTTCTGCCGCCCTGTCCTTCTTATTTGATCTCTCCCCCCCCCCCGCCGCCACCCGCCTACAGACAATACTCGAGGAGGACCTGGAGGACCCGGTCTACCAGGTAACGTCCTGACCAATCCCAATCCTTGCCGTCGCCCGCTGCTCTTCCAGCTTGCTCCTCTCTGTGTGCGCTGTGGGGAGACAGCTCTGTGTTCGTTTCTGTTGTGTACACGTTTGCTGACGTGTCCACTAGTCCGGTCAGAGCCACTAGTATATCTGTGTGTCTGTTGGTCTGTGGCTATGAGCGCATGGTGAGTCGAAGATGTTTTTGGGGGGGCCTCCTTTCTGTGTCGGTGGGATCTGTTCTTCTGCTGTTTTTGGATGGGAACTTTTTGACAATGCTGTGACTAATCACCTCTGCACTTTCATCACCTTTTTCTAAACTTCTTTATATTCCAATTTTCTCTCTTTTCTTCCCCCCACCCCCTTCTCTTTCCTCTGCCGCTGATGTTGTAGTACATAGTCTTTGAGGCGGGACACGAGCCCATCCGCGACCAGTCAGAAGAAAGCATTTATCAGGTACTCACAAGCTCCCCTTGTTTGCTTGTGTCTTACTTAGATTTAAACTATAATTATTGTAGTTAAACTGCTGACAGGGAGTTGCTAAAAGCGATTAAGCGACAAAGATTTAATCTTCCATTTACTAGCCAATCTTCACTAGCTACTTTACTCTTTAATGGGATAAATGTATTCCGGCCTGCGCATAAAATTAATTGATTCTGTTTTTAACACATAAAATGCGGAGACAGGAAATAATAGGCTGTAGGAACTGGCGGAAAGTAACCAGCCGACACTTTCCAGAGGGCCTATTCAGCTAAAGCTAACTAGTCCAGGGAGATGAGCCTTTCTCTGGGTGTACTCCTCAGAGATGCGCAAAGACCTCCGAGGGATGAAGAGGGGGAGGTGCACACGGGGAGGATTCTGAGGTTATTCCTGGCCCGTGCGGAAGGCAGACCCCACCTCCCCTCCCTCTGTCCCAAGGAGATGAAAGAAAGCAACTGGAAAGAAAGATTAATCACCAGCCTTTCGTTTGATCTTTAAATAAAATGGATTGAAAATAAGGGGAGCGCTGGTTGTGCACGCGGTCATACACAAACAATCATTCACACAAGCAGATGTGGACACACACACACACACACACACACACGCACACACATCAGGCATTAGAAACGTGAGCCACAGCCAGCCTCCAGCCACAGAGGAACTAACGTATGAATAAAGATCGCTGCTTCTTGAAATAAACACGTGAAAGGAATAAACAAGACATTGAAAAAAGGAGGGGGAAAGAGCGAGAAGCAAGTCCACAATTTTCACAAGAGGAATTTCTCGGTTTCCTCTCGGTTTAATCAGGGCACATTTACCTTTAGAACTTTGTTCAAACGCCGCGACAGTTTCGTAGAAACCGAGCCAGTGACTTGTGCGCACATTTTGTTATCGCATCCTCCGATGGCACATGCAGTCAAAACGATCACTCTGTGGGACGTCCAGATATTAGACGTCTCACAGATTGTGACAATCTGAGTTATTACATGTCTGTCGGTCTGATAAGCAGGTTTATCTTTCTTTTATTAACCCTCTAGATGAGCTCACACCCCACAGATTTGAATCCTGATCATCTACACACACACACAGACACACACACGCCTACTCACACACACATAAATGCCAGCAGTGATTGATAGGACTTCCTAATAGCCGGGTTCCTGGGACTTGTGCTGGCATCTGGTGTGCCGCAGTGCTGGATCAGTGATGTGTTGTGTCTTATTGCTTATTGATCCAGAGGTAACAGGCTCTCTCGGCTGTTCTCTGAATGTATTGGTCGATTGTGTAGGTCCCCACCAGTCAGCAGAAGGAAGGGGTCTATGACGTCCCAAAGCGACACCCAGTGAGTGACCGCGCATTTGCCCGCGTCTGACCACACCCCTCCAGCCTGCCTCCCCCTCTCAGACAAACCTCTCAGCTCTTTCACGGCTCACTCATTTTACAACCTCTAAATTCGCTGCCTTTTTCTACTTCCCGTTAACACACACCGATCCAAAGAATCTGATTTCCCGCTGAGAGGTTTGCTGGGATCCAGTGCTTTGTGCGGTGAACTGCTTGTGCTGTAGCCCGGTGGTGGCCTCTGTCCTCCTCCTGCTCCATGGTGCCTGTTTCTTGTGGTTTTACGGGATAATGTGTGTTGCATGTCAGTCTGTGCAATGAAGCATGTCTGGCTCTGTTCAGCCGGTGATGAACGCTGTGAAAAAAAAAAAAACTGCATGACTGCGTCTTAGATGGCATCCAACTCAAGTTGAGTCTCTGCTAACTTTTAATTTGCTGGATTTTTGTTCCACATCTGACTATGACTGTGCATTGCTTTATTTCATGAATCTATATTTGGGATTTTTGAGCTGTTTTTACGACTGATTATGTATTTGTGAGTCACAGCTTTTGCAATGGAAATCTATAGAAAAGTGTGAGTCTTTGTATGTATGTGTGTGTGTGTGTGTGTGGTATGTATGTTACAGCCAAACAGCTTGTGCTGATAATGAAAGATGACCTTCAGCAGTGTCGGGCTACGCCATAACTCTGCTCTTTATCGGCCCGTAAAGATGCTAGTTATATTACTGTTGGATTTAGTGTGCTAAAATCATCACATTCACCATATCTGTGCTGCTGTCCTGTGGATATGTGGGAGTGGATGTTCTGGTTATTAGTGAAACCTCCTCCGATATAGCTCTGGTTTCCTATAGCGCTGTGTTCTCTCAGGACTACCCAGAGACCCCAATTTATGTGTGTATTCCCTGGCAGTAGGTCTTTTATCCTTAAACTGCTAAACCTGGACTCCTCTGGCAGTCAAAATCCCACTCTCAGAGTGGTGAAAATCAGTCTCGCAGTATTTCTGGCTGCTTATTATCCCAAGATTTGGTAAGAAGCTTATAGGCACCTCGTATTTTTGTGCTCTCCTCAGCCAGCCCACAACACATGCTGCTCTTTGGATTGCTTTCCTGTTGGTAGGTGTCAGAACATGGCAAAATCCAATATTTCTTTCTTGTTGTGCAACCAGTTGGAATAGTTGTCCTTTGTGGGTTTTTATTAAATAAATGTTGGTCTGTTATGCTTGATTAACAGACAGAATAGCTGTAAACAGCTTAGAAATACATAAGAATATGATGAAAAATTTAAGGAATTTATTTTTAAGCAGGCAACTTAGTTAGCTTTGATGTCTTTTCTATTTACTAGGTCACAAGTGGCTGTGGTGTGACTCCCTTTATGGTTGAATAATTCAAGCTGGGGACGATTTAGCTGCTGATGCCAAAGACTATTTGTCAATTACAATACATTTGCGAATTTAGCAGAGGCTTTTTTCCAAAGCGACTTGCAAGGATTCGGGACAGTTAAATGTTCAGTCAATTTTAGAGACCAATCCACAGTAAACAGTTATGACATCAGGAGTGTTCTAGAGAGAGAGTGCAGCTCTTTAGGTTGTCAGGTCCAGTTCATGAGGAACAAAAGGAGGGAAAGGTGAGAGGAGAAGGAAGCCAAAGATAAGTATTCTAAATCTTTAGTTTGTCATAAGAGGAGATACTCTTTGAAAAGCAGAGCTTTAAAGAGCTTCTTGAAAGTGGAGCGGTGGCCCTCTACTCTGGTAGCACTTGGAAGGTTATTCCAACATGCATTAACCTAACATGCATATTTTAGGAAGCTAGAGAACCCAAACATACACATGTGAAACCTGTGAGTCCACTGTGCAGCTTAGGTTTCATTTCTTGGAAGTAAATAAAATGAATGTGTTATGATATGAATGTGAACATACTGTCAAAGTTAATAAGGAACAAATTAGAAACGCGTGATAGCCAGAGTTGAAGCCATTTGTATAATTAAAATGTAGTCCTGGTTGATAGTAATGTGAAAAGAAATCTACACCTTTTTTCATTTCTACATCCTTACATATGAAGACATGATACAAAAAAAGAAATGTAGTGTTTCTTATGGAAGCAACTTTGCTACTCTCCCCAGAATAAAAGAAGGGTTATGATATATTCATACAGATGGTAGTCTATCATAAACCATTATGCTCAGAAAAACAACAAAAACCTCCAAAATACAATTTGTGACACCACAGTAAGAAAAAGACTGGACGTATTCGGCTTGTGTGGAAAGGTTGTCAAGAAAAAAGCCTCATCTCGCTCTCCAAAAAGAATATGGCAGCACGGCTTGGGTTTGCAAAGCTGCCTCTAGAGGAGTCTCCTTAAACTATGTCTACAGGACGGACGAGACCAAAGTGGAGATGTTTCTCTCTTATTGTGGAGCTCCACATTTGGAGAAAGCCAAACAGGCCAGAGCACCCCGCAGTCAGTGAGTTAACCGGTATTTTCTTCAGGTTTTTGCTGCTGATTGAGGTTCTATAGGCTATAGAACAAAAAAATCAACTTAGTTTATTACTTCTTACTTTTGTATTACTGCATTTAAATAGATCTTTTTGATTGCACACAGATATATAAAACATTATAATTTGAAGTGTGTGTGTTGTGTTTTTTACATTACTGTAGCTTGGTACACATAATCTTTGCTACCTGGAGAGGGATTTAGAGTGTGGGACCTACATAGTTGCTAGCCATTGCAGAAGAATGGCCGTATACGGGCAGCAGAATCTCCTCTGCACACAGTCAGCCGTCAGCGGCAGAATTCCACACAGATAGTGAACTGAGCCAGCGACCGGGTCGAGGTGGTCGTTTTCCCTCGGCGTCAGAGACGGACAGTGGATCGCGGAGCGAGGTGACATCAGTGCATGTGTGCACACCTCACCTCAGACAAAATGATCCCATCAGCACAAATGTGACCTCCTGTCTGCAGCAGTCTCTTCTGTTGTTTACGCTGTCACCTTCTTAAACGATGGCAAATCAATAAAAACGCTCACACACACACCCAAAAGGCTATTTCAATCTACTGAGCTGTTGATCCCGTAAGACCCCGAAAGAGTCTTTTGAATCAACAGAAGCCCTCGCTACCTCAGAGTCCACATGTAGAGGTCAGCTCAGTCAAACACATCAACCCCGCTCACACACACCGCCTCATATGCTGATGTTTGGTCACTCCCTGGCTGGTTTCAGCCCGATAGTTTAAAGGTTTGGCTCTGTCGCGACGTGAGTTGGGGTTTAGGAGATGCGAGGGCGGAGATAAAAAGCAGTCTGCGTTGGGTCTGATGGGGGGTTTTGGGTCTGTTTTTTAGCAGGTTGCCTGTTGTTCGCCAGGTCGATCCGTCACACGGCGGGGGGGATCAGCGAGGTGGTGTTAATTAAGGGGGATGCCTTAATTGTATGCAGAACACATGTGCTCGGGTAATTACCGTTTCCCCGGAGACGGTTAATTGATAGGAGGTAGCTGCACTGATGAAGCGGCTGGGCTGGGCGAAGAGATGGTGAAAAATCCTGTTTGGCACCAAAGGGATAACTGGACAAACCCAACCACATTCAGCAGTAGAATACTTCTTTTAACAACAATGAATCCATCGATCAGCTCAGGTAAAACACCTGATTGAAATACAATCATGGGGTAAGATTTTAAACGATGAAACAAAAGAAACTAAACTTTCTGGAGGAAAATTGCCATTACTTGCATCACTCATTAGCATTGGCCAATGGGGTATCATTTTTTAATGCCAGTAACTGGCGGCCATGTTGAATGTTTTCATCCAAAGAAACACTGATGATATTTTTCTTACAACCTTTAATAGAAGGAGCTGCAGTTTATATTTTTCCTGCCAGTGCTGGATAAATGAACAGCCGAACCCGTGTTGATTAAAGACAGTTTTGGAGATGGTTGGTAAACTCGGACATGCTGTATCCTGAAGAAGTATGCATTTAAAGTGTTAATGTTGGGGTTCGAAAGCACAAAGGCCGTTTTTTTTCTTTATAATGTGACATTCCCTCGCCGTGCCCTGATATAAAGCATATTAGTTAATCCAGCTCCCCTGTCTGCGCCTGCCTGCAGTTCTGTCTCCGGGGAGCAGGCTTTACAGAAATACAAATGGGGTTTAAACCTCGGCTCAGTGCTATGGTTTAGACTAGAGGTGGGCTCCTTGCTTCTCTTTAAATCTTTGCTTGGTCTCTAAGTCTGGTAAGAAGAATCCTCCGGTGTGCCTGGGTCTGTGCGTGTGTGTTTTGTGACTCGGACAGCCACCGTCTGTCGTTTTCTGTCATTTCCTTCTCACCCTCCCTCTCCGCCTGCGGATGAGAAAATAACTAACATGACTGTGTGACAGAACATTTTCACCCACTCGCCATCTAACATTGGGGTTGTGATTGCAGAAAGGACATCAAAACACTCCCCTCCATCATCATCCTCAGCATCATGATTATCATGAACAGCCTCTCCAGCAAGAACAAAGTGAACAGCCACAGATGCAGGAGGCAGTTGCAGATCTGATAGACTTAGACCTGGAAATGGTGACTCAGGTAAGGTGCTATGCAAACATAAAAGCAGGTTTTTCGGTATATTTTTCAGCGGGGAACAATATATTTGAAAAAGTGAGCCCTCATGGACTGCTTCTTAAGTCGCAACTTTAGTCTCTAGTTCCTCATATTTCCTGCACCCTCAATTGTTCTGCCCTTCCTTAAACTGACCCTTACTAGTGATGCAACATTCTACTTTAGAGTTGGCATAGCAACCAGGTTCAGGAAGGAGTTGCATCGAGTAATGCATCGGTGTGTTTAAACTTGAATGTGTCCATATGTGAAAGTGGAAGGGTGAGCACATAGAACAGAGACAAGTTTGTGATTCAGCCAGAGGTCTCGCTTCAAAAGAAAGAAATCCAACATTCATCGATGTACCTCAATACATTTTTAATCTGCCTCACAAACATATCGCTGCTATATCTTGAAATGGCTTCGGCAGGAATCAGACACCTCTTTATTATTATTCCTGTGAAATGAGGACCTATGAGTCTGGTTATCTGAGTCCGTTTGCTCAGGATACGTCTCGACACTCAAAAGGAAAAAACATCTTGTGAATATGTCAATAGAATTTAAAAGTCTATTATCGGAAAGGGAAACTTCAGGCGTAGTGGGAGCAAAAAGTCAGGCTCGTTTCCATAGAGCTCTGTAAAGTACTGACACTCATTCCTGCAGCACATGGATGAAACCATCAGAACATTGATGGTGTTTTGATCAAATATTCTAACTTCAGAACAGGAACAAAAAAAAAAGCAAAAACATATGGCTATCTAGACACATAAGTGTAAAGCACCATGATCACAGATCCATTTTCTGATAGATTTAAATAGAATTCTTCGGACTGCGTGGCCTAAGAGAGGGAACGAGAGGAAGATATTCCAAGAGCATTCATTATCTCCAAAGAAATTATCTGCATGATTTATGCAAATCTCTGACCATGCATTCAAGGCTTAAGTTCCTTTATCAACTAAAAATAGGTTTCCTCACTTCCCACTGGCCTAAAGATATTATTAACGCAAAAAAAAGAGGGATATACTAAAGAGCAGGATCATATGGAGCCAGTGGAAGGAAACTGGAGGATACAGAACAAATCCAGATCAAAAAGAAATCCTGTTTCTTTGATAGTTATTCCCTCTGAGATACAACACACTTCTGCTCCAGGAGGGAAACGTTAATGACTTAGCCAGAAGAGGGCTCTGGTACGGTAGCGATGTTAGGAGTGTGCCGCTCCGCTGATGGAAAAGCATCCTCACAAGCAGATGAGAACAAATGGCATTAACTAACGGTGGGTATGTCATCATAACCATTTCATCTCATTATCCCATCTCTCTTCACCTCTCCGTCACCCCCTCCGTGTCGAGGCCGCAGGGCTCAGGTTGGTAAAGTGTGTCAAACCTGTGTTGTGTTGCATGAAGTGTGTGATGCATGTTTCACCGATGTGTGAACCGTTTCGAACCGTTTTGTCTTTGCCTGTACAAAAGTACGAGTGTGTTTGTCTTTACCTATTCTGATTTTCTTTCTTTTCTTTTTAGAATATCAGCCAGTTAGAGATTTTTGGAGACATGTCGACACCACCTGACATCACCTCTCCATCCGTGAGTAGCTGCCGCTTCTTACCAGCCAATCAGAGTATTTCCAAAGAGCCGTTTGGTTGTTCCCTGACCCCGACCTGCTACCCCGCACAGACCCCCGCCTCTCCTGCCAACACGCTGGACCCCTCGCAGGGCCTGCAGCCCCCCACTGAACTCTTCGCTCCCTTCAACCCCGCGTCTGTGCCCTCAGGTAAGACCTCGTTCGTTTTCTGCTTAAATACACCACCGCTACACGCGGAGAGGAAACAAACACAGCGGGGGGGGGACGGGGAGAGGCCGGAGAGGCGGAGGACGGAGAGGAGAGCAGACAAGAAAGGGAGGGGTGGCGGGGATAAACAGAGACGGAACAGAATTGAAATGCAGATGAGGGTAAGGTGGAGAAAAGGTGTTGGTTGTGTCTTGAATGCGAATGGCTATATTAGCTTGCTAACCCAGTTGCTGCTGATTTACCTGTGGCTGAGGCGGCTAGGGGGGGGGGGGGGGTCAGAGGAAAGCAATGAAATATGCCGGGATGATCGTTGTGAATAATTTATGGTATGTATAGGACTTCATTGAATTATACATGATTGTGTATGCCGGGGTTTTATCAGAGCCTCTTTATTTACTCGCTTCTCGGCTTTGTTCATCACCTCTCCCCCCCGTCCGTGCGGGACTCACAGCAGGTGGGCGAGGTTAAATGTCAACTTTCCTTCCTGCGGTTAACTACCGGAGACCAGAAGCGAGGGGGATAAGCAAATGTGCAATAAGAAATGCCGTTTACTGATGAGTTTGAGTGCTTTTAATGAGCGTGTGTTGCGCTTTGCCTCATTCTGGAAGTAATTACGATAGTTCACCATGACCATTAAGAGACAGCACATTAGCTGCAGGCAGAAGTGGGCCAGCGCTCTCTGGTGATGTATGTCTTATTATCTGTGTGGGTTTTTGTGTGGAGGAAACAGAGGGCATGCAGGTATTCTAATCACTTCCTCATTCAGAGCGTCTGCTCTTACTTTCCCATTTAATATGAAATGGTGTCCCCCCCCCCAAATGGTGTTTTTTAATCTTCACTTCCAGGTTATGTGACAATGGGGGCGGTACCTCCCGGTCACTGGTCCCAGCAAGCGTTTGCTGCCCAGACCCCCCTGGCCTTCGGGGTCCAGTCTCCCCTGGGCCCCGTGGCCCAGGTGCTGCCCGGTGGTCAGCCTCTCATCTGGGGACAGGCCAACCTCTTCCCGGCCACCCAGCAGCAGTGGGCGGCCATGGCGGCCGGAGCCTTCTCCCCCACAGCCTACCTCCCCGCCCAGCCCGTGGGCACCCTGCCCGCCGCCATGTTCCAGACCCTGGCCCCGGTCACCACTCTGCCGCCGGCCGGGGAGAGCCATTCAGGGGCCGGCGCCGCCGCGCCCTCCCCCTCGGCGTCATCCAGTCCCCAGCACGGAGACAGGGCAAAGAAGATAGGCAAGGAGATGTTTAAGGTGGGGAGCTGGAGACAGACGATTAACTCATTGACTGGCAGCCATTTTCAGAACAAAGAGTCCCATACTGCCAGAGTTTTTTGAGCATTTTGACTGATTTTTCAAGAGCCACAGAATAGTTTGTGCTATGACTATGTAAACACCGAACACGCCAAAAGAAAGAGTAGACTCTCTTCTTTTATCAGGAAAAAAAAATTGTTTCTACCTTATTCCGTTCTTCCTCGACTTGCGTCTCACTGGCGCCATTTCTCGCATAGCGAACCATTGCGTTTTTTTTATTTGCCTACAATCTATGCTCATCTCCCATCATAAGTGGCACTGCCACCTAGAGGGTCAATTTGTTACTACATACTCTGTCTAGAAGCCGATATTTACGGAAAAGCTTTAGCCGATCGTCCCCCAAGCCACTCGCGTTGAAAAACATAAAAGACGTCTATAGACGTCTTTGGCAGCCAATGAGTTAAGTGAACCCTGGAAGTTTGGTTTTGTTATAGATTAACAGATTGGTTAGACAGAAAAGCCTCAATGAGAATATAAACAGAAAAGCAAGAACTCAATAAAATGAAGGTGGACAGATGTTTCGGCCACGTTAAAGAAGAAACCCAGTGAGGAAACCCAGTGAGGAGCGATAAAGGATTGACTCAGAGCTAAGTTTTCCGACTCTTTCAGGATTTCCAGCTGGCGAAGCCGCCGGCCATGCCGTCCAAGAAGCCTGACCAGCCCAGCTTGTCGGGCACCAGCGAGGCATTCAGCTCTTACTTCAGCCGCGTGGGCACCGCCCAGGACACGGACGACTGTGACGACTTCGACATTTCCCAACTGAATCTCACCCCCGTCACCTCCACGACGCCGTCCACCAACTCGCGTGAGCCAGCCGTCCATCTGCCGTCCATCCCGCCTGTGCCGCGTCACGCCACCGCCACCATCAAGGTTTTAACTTTGTCTGTCCACCCCCCACAGCCCCCACACCAGCTCCCAGGAAGGGCTCTCCTTCCAAATCCTCAGCCTCCCATGTCAGTGACCCCCCCACAGATGCCACGGACCCCCCAACGGACGACTCGTTCGGAGAGGCGGAGGGCAGCCCCAGTCGCAGCGGGGAGGAGGACGGCGTAAGTGTTTGCGTGGGGGTGTTTGGCCTCTTTCTGAGTTCCTCCTTATGCCCGTGCAAGCCTGATCGGATCGGCTGATGAATAGCCTCTGTAGCAGCGTTGGCGGGCCAGGTAATCACTCTGGCTGATTAGGGGACGGTGTCCCCTACTGTGTGTGTGTATGTGTGTGTTTAGGTGTGGGTGTCCATATCACTGCATGTGAAATGCACACAGTGTGAGTTACACACTGAATAAAAGCATTAACATGCATAAGAATGTACGTGTGAGTGTGTGTGTGTGTGCACATGTGTGTGTGCTAGCGTGCGCATGGTCAACACGGCGTTAAATTAGCCGGTGGGATTGTCAGGGACATCATTAAGCCGTTATTAATACCAGCCAGGTAGCGTCCATACATCACCACTTCTATATGGACAAACTCCTCTCTGCGAGGCCCAGTGCCCCAGTTCTTCCTCCAGGAGCAATTAATATTTATTTTACCCGCAGAGACTTAAGCAGAGCTTGAAAGTAATAGAAATTAAGAGGATGAGGAAATAAAAGGCCGGCTCATTGGGAGGGTGGACAGTCTCCGTCAGACTTTGACTGAAATCCTTATAGAGTCTGTGACCTTCCGCCAAACTAGACTTTTGTTCTTTCCTTCTACTTTCCCACCACTTCTCTTCCTGTTTCCCTCCCTCTCTTTCTCTGTTCCTTTCATGAGCGCTTTTTTTCCTCTGCTCTCCACTCCCCGGCCGTGAAACATCAGTTTTATGCCCCCAATCCAGCTATTATTGTGCGTGCATGTGTGGGGGGTGGAAATAGAGGACTTTCACACTGCTGAAAATGTCACCCGGCCGGAATAACACAGAGAAGCTTTGGACAACCCAAAGAAATGCGCACTGGGGGTGCCGCTGAGTGGGTACGACGCAAAGGTTAAAAGACGGAGAGAAAGGAGGACACGGAAGATGGTGCAAAGGAGAAACAACCTCCCACTCTCTGCAGGGCGAGGTGTAAAAAGGGGAAGTGGAAAAAAAAGCCGTGGATCAATAGAGTGAACTCTGCTGAGGCTTTCATAAGAGACCACTGTCAATGAGTACGTGCATGGATGCGTGTTTGTGTGCATTGGCAGTGATGTTTCTGAGAAGAGAGGCCTGTGGGGTTTTTTTTTTTTCACTCCAACAGTGCTGACACCTTTACTGTTTGCTTCCTGTTTCTTGTAGTCTTTACCAAACCTGCTGTGCTGCAGATTTGTTCTTCTCTATCTGCTTTCTCCCTTGTTTTTCCCTTTTCTTATTGTCTTCTATGGACTTTCCTCTCCGCCCTGCTCCCTCCCTCCCTCCGTTCCTCCCTTCTTCAGGCGTGTGGCTCTGGGTCGCCCTGCCCCAGTGAGGCAGCCGAGCCCAGTCCAGAACAGGCCAGTCCAGAACAGGCCAGTCCAGAGGCTGGGAGCTAGATAGCAGCAGGGCAGGGTAGGTATCTGCACCCCTCCTTCTTCTTCAGCTCCTCCCCCCTCTTCCATTTTCTTCATTTGATCTGTTCTTCTGTTTGCCTGCAACACCACCGGCTTTCGTATCTTTCTTCCTTCCGTTGCATATTTGATCTCATATTCACAGTTTTACCTTCGTTGGCCTTGGCCCAGGTCCACTCATGCCAGAGCGATGACACACGTTTGGGTGTGAGTGAAATGTTGTGTGTGTGAGTGTACCTCAGTGATGCTGTGCTCATGTCATTTTGTGGTGGATGTCATTTTTAGGCCGGAGTTTTGTAAGTATCTTCTGGCCGTAACTTTGTGAACCCGTGTGTGTGTGGGGTGGACCACGGTGCTCTCCTGTGTCATGTCTTCACAGCCGGCTCCATAAATAGCATCCATCTCATTGGGGGGGGGGGGGGGGGTCGCTGAGGGAAATAACCAAAAACAGCGCTTTTCTCTGAACAGCATGTCTTCTGGGATTTGCGCACAATATGCTGATCTTTGATTTTTAGCCCGGCGTAACGGTGATATATACGCTGACATTTTCTTCCTCCTGCACGTCTCCGTTAATCCACGCCTGGTTTTAAAGCGACGTAACCCATACGGACAACTCTCCATCAGCTGTCGTTGGCTGGAAATGTTTTGCACCGGGACATTTCATGCCGCATGCTTATTCTGCGTGACACACACACAGACACACACACAGAGACACACAAACACACACTCCAAAGAAGAGAGCCACTTTGATCCCTGCCTCCCAATCCGATGTCCTCAACCCACACAATTCTCAACTGTGGCTCCTTAATGATAGCTGCTGGCGCTCACACAGGGAAAGAATGTAACGGTTTTGTTTTCATCAGCTAATACTCGGGTGCCAAGATTAATGACTACCCCGATATAATTGGCATTAATTAAAACCCCGAGAAGCCCTCGAGTGCCTCCCCACTCCAGGAGAAGGAGAGGGTGGCTGAGCGGCGCCGCTCCCCGGTTGGCCCACGCTCTGAAGGCCGAGGGCCAGCAGGTGGACGTGGAGTGCCGAGCGGCCAGAAACTCTCCAGTCCCTCTTCAGAAGCCGGTGGATTCTGCTTTACTTTCCATATGGTGTTTACTTGCTCAATCACGCCGGCTTCAGACGCCCTCCCAAACAAGCGCACACCTGTGCAACGGAGGCCGCTACTCCCCAGACGAGCACACCTGTGATCGATCCCCCCCCCACCACCGCCACCACCACCTGGGCTCAGATCCGTGCCAGAAAATCCGCCTGTGCTTGTGTGAGTGCGTTTGAGGCCGTCCGTGACCCCCTCCCGTCACACGGCTCCTGCAGACGTGTGTTCAGGCGAGCGGGAGTGCAGGAGTTTTTGGTTTTTGGGTTTTTTTTCTCGGGGGTGGGGTCTCATCATGGCCGGCAAACGATCTCCAGCCTCAGCTGTTAAATGGCCAGCTTCCACGGTTCGCCGAGCACTCTCACATCATCGCCCAGAGCCCACCACACACACACACACACACACACACACACCCACACACACACTGAAACAAACACACTCACATGCAGCTAAAAGTCCCAACATGCACCAGCCGAGCGAGACGCTTTGGCCGTCTGCCCGGTGCCCCACCAGCACATCGCTCACACCTCCACCCAGGCCCCCCCCCCCCCCCCCCCCCCCCCCCCC